AATTAAGCGACAATTTTTTTTCTCATAATACCTACAGCGCATAAAAGGAAACAAATGCATTAACAGAAAAGAGACACATGACAAGGACGGCGCTTACTATCTTATAGTCTACCTTGCGATAATGCCCTTAAAGCGCAATAATAAGCATTCTGTGGAAAAAAGAAAAAGAAAAAAAGGAACTTTTGCACCGTTCTTGGATTTTTTTAGACCAAACGTAACACACGCAGCAGACCTACATTGTGAGTTAAAACATCGCAGGGGTCAATGTCGGGGAGGCCGACGCAAAGCGGACATGAAGACAATTAGCCCGTGCTTTTTTTCCTTTCCCTCCTCTTTCTTTTTTGTCCCGTATTTTTTTTTCTATAGACCAACACGCGTCCCTGACGTCACGCAGCTGCGGTGGCGCTGTCGACGGCACTGCGCATGCGCACACGCTTCAGTTCACTCGAATTCGGTTTCTGCGCATGCGCAGTGCCCACACCTGGTGTGGGCAAACGCGGGCTTGTTTGTAAACAGCGTGTCGGTCTATAGGCAGCGTTCTCTCTTTTTTTCGAATAATAGATCGCATGGCGAGTCAAGAAAGATCTCTTGACTCGGCAGACACAAGTCAAGAGATCTGATATGCGCCAAGAGGTTAAACGCGTCAAGAGATCCATGGCGAGTCAAGTAGTCCAACGAGTCAAGAGATCCGTGGCAAGTCAGGAGGTCCAATATTGGATCTCTTGACTCCTTGAACCTCTCGACTCGGAATCTCTGAGTCTGTCCCTGCTTCTAGCCATGTTCGGCGAGTGCGTGAATCCCTCGACCCCGCTCTGCCTTTTAGCCTTCCTTCTGAATCGAAAATAAAATCAGGGGAAACGTGTCCAAACCGGAAAAAGGCGACACGTCACGTCCGGTCGGTCGCTGATTGGCTCAAGCGCGCGCGTATACGCTCAGCCAACACCTCCCAGACAGCAAAGCCTGCGCGTTACGCGACACGGGAGGCAGGCACGGGCTCTGATTAGATGCGAGTGCTGCGTCAGCGTTCGCCCGTGGGGCTCGTTTCCTATCATAGTCCCACGCTAAGGCTGACGCGGCACTCGCATCCAATCAGCGCCCGTGCGGGCCTCCCGGACGTGACGTCATGTGACGTAACGCGCAGGCTTTAAAGCTGTTTAGGTGCTGGCTCAGCGTGCGGCGGCGCACAGGTCTACCACGTGACCAGCGGCGGCTCCCGCGGGCGCCATTTACGAATTCGTCTCGCGCCGTAAATATAACTATTTTTTTTCTTCGTTTTGTAAATTCGTTTTATGACATTCTTTTTTTAATCTAAACGATTTAACAATATTCTTTTTCTTTGCTTGTGTCCTTTAAATAACTGTATTCGCTATTCGCATCCGATCCGCATCCATAGACTTTGTATCCACATCCGAACCGCAACCGCATAATTTGGAACCGCATCCGACTCTCAATCCGCGCATACAGTTTACATCATAATTTGAAGCATAAATAAAACAACAACAACAACATCAGGGCGGTTTCCTATAAGCCGTCCGCTTAACTTCCTACAAAAACTTGGTCGAGTAAGAATACGGTGAAAGTCTTTTTATCGTATTGTTTCATTGTATTTATAAAATAAGCGATCATCCTTCCAGAGACACTTCGCACCGCTTGAAAGATGCTGCAGTTATGAGATCGTCTTCGGAGTCTGACATTCTGTCCAGTAGATGTACTCAAAAGGAAGGGAATTTATATTTATTTTCCTTTTTGATTTGTAAAAGCCACTTCAAGCTGACGCATATTTTATAAACATGAAAATTGACAAAAGACAGGCTAATAACGTTGTGTCCTTTTATTTAGACCGAACAATAAAAAGCTCGACGTACCCTAAGCACTCATGAGTTGTGAATGCGAAAGCATATGCAAGTCGCTCGTCCGCTCCCTTTTTCGTCTGTTGCGTACTTTTCGTCGCCGGTCAGCGCGCGTTCTCCCCTGGGCACGCTGACCTTGGACGCTCCGTGTTAACGGCGCGCTGATGGACACGCAGCGCCATGGGGTGAGCGGTCGTGGAAACTGACGAGCGCAACGGCCAATGGGAGCTCCGTCGACGCGCGCCAGCCAATAAAACCGAAGGCGAAATCCATCAGCTTTACTTCGCTCCTTTGGGATCGGGGAAACTAGGTGCCGTTTTCGCGCTTCAAACTGATGACGTCAGCTCGCTCCATGGGACAGTTAATGCTTTCGCATTAAAAAAGTGGGAGAGGAAGGGCGGTCACTCGCCGCAGCAAAATACTCGTGTATATGTGGTAAGGGAAAATATCATAATATTCAATAATAAAAACACCTCCTATCGGTTTCAGTTTTAAACACGAAGCCTCAACCGCATGCTAAAAAACATATACATACTTTAAAAAAAAATAACTCAGTGCAAACTGTTGAGAAAATGAAAAAGTTATTAACGCAACGTTTCGCTCATAATTTCAATCACTGGTCTGGGGCAGTCGGCGCTGGTCCCGCAGTTGCTAAAATCTCCACTTTGAACGTTTTATTTGAATAAAGATTTATTCTGTCGCTCTCTCTCTCTCTCTTTTCACTTGTCAAGGTTGCTGTGTAGAAGAAACAGAATATAGTAAACTCGGACGGAATTAGACTGGTTCGCGTCCCTTCAACTATTACCCCCTAATGAGAGGGCTCTGTCCGTTGGTGCACTTAATGCTGGGATGGCATGCACGAACTGCGTTGCAATAATGAATTCGGAAAACTCGTGATTGTGCAAGTTCCAGCACTCCAGAGAATCGAATTCAGCCTCCTCAATATATACTTGTAGGGGAAGAAGTCACTTACGGGCTTCTATTTTCTTCTGGCTTGTATGTTTTGGGCTTTCTTCGCCCAAAGAACGTTTTCCGCTCTTTCCCTGCCAAACAAGAACATGCTACCCGGGACGACTGATAGTTCTGCATTCTCCACTTTTTCTAGAAACTGGTTTTGGCGAGATAGAACGTTCTAAAGCGATCTTTGGTGAGAATCAAATCTTTATTGACGTAAAGAGCAATTCTTTCCCCGATTGCTATCTTTCATCTAAGAGAGTATTTTTGCCCCCGCAATACAGTCGACGACGCACTTCATAGTATCACTCACTTATTCACTCTGCATTGTACGGTCGCACACCTTTGCGGGCCGCCTCGGCGAATATGGATTCGGACCCGCCGATAGCCGCATCCGATCCGGAAACCGCCAAATCTGATTCATTTTTACCCGAATCCGCCAGTTTACTGCGGATTTCCGCGGATATACGGGGTTCTAGTCATAACTCTTGCATATTGTCATCAGCCAGTTTCCTCACTAACGTTCCGTGTAAAATTCTAGAGCATGTCCTATATTCACATATAACAATTTGTTTTTAGTAAATTCGTCCTATACTCTTGCTCAGCACGGATTCCGCAGGTCTCTCTCTTGAGACATTCAGCTCCTGTGCTTGACCCATGACCACTTCATTCATGACCGCGGCTTTCAGGTAGAGTGCGTATTCCTTGATTTTTCCAAAGCTTTTTACAAGGTATCTGGCTCCCCCCTCCTTCACAAACTAAGCAAACTTAATTTAGACCAATGCCGTTGCATGGATACACTCTTTTCTCACTAGCCGATCGCAGTTCGTTAGTGCTAACGATGTCGACTCTGAACGTTCTCCAGTTACCTCAGGTGTTCCTCAAGGCTCTCGATAACAGCAGTCTTGAACCTTTGTCTTCGTAGGAGTATCTGGGTGTTTATATAACCTGTACCTTTTCTGGGAAAATTCACATTGACTATATTTGCAGCGATGCTAATCGCATGCTCGGTTATTTAAAATAAATGTTTTTATTCTTTCACCTACGTCATTGTAGTTACATCTTTACAGAACATTTGTCCGAAGTAAATCGGAATATGCTGCATCTATCAGGGATACCGACCTTAAATCATTCATTTTCGAATCAGAAGCTCTTCAGAATCGTTCAGTACGTTTCATACTTTCTAACTATCACCGCATCGCCACTATGGCAGCAATGAAAACCTGCTTGTCACTACCGAATCTTTCACAACGTAGAAAAGTGGCCCGCCTGTGTTTGTTTCATTAAACATATCACAATCCATCACTCAGACAAAGACCCCTAACACATCTCCATTACCTGTCAGCGCGCAGTGACCGTAGACATAAAGTTGGTATCCCATCTTGCAATACTAATACATTCTATAATTATTTTATTCCCAGCACCTCTTTTCATCGGTATCACCTTTTCCCATCTACAAGGGAAATTTTTGACATTGACTGTTTTAGAAAGGCCATAATGAATCTTAATTTTGTAATGAGTCACTGTAATTACTTGAGTTTTTTTATTGTTTTGCAGGTCCGTTTGTTCCCTTTGTATTTTTTCTCTTTTCATGTAACCCACTCACCTCTATAACGCCTTTATAACCTTAAAAAAAAAGCTACAATTTTTAAAGGGATATTACTGTAGTGGTTTAACACCGTTTAATACTGAGATTACATAGGATTGTTGGAGGTTACATTGCGATGTTCCGCTTACACCGCGGGAGGCCTGTACCAGGATGCCTCTCGGTAGTCGATGTTCCTTCGGCTGCTTGGAGTTGAGGAGTTCAAACACAAACTGAAACTAGACACTACATCTCTCCCCCATTTGGAGGCAGTCTGCAAGAGGCTAACACTGTTCCACGAGTCTTTTCGGCCTTGCCCGCTGCCGATGGGGACGACTTGACGACTGTGAAGTTGCCTGCCTGGGCATCATCATCTCTGGGACTGATTCTGGCCCTCCAACGTAGTTGGGCATTGGCAGCTTCTTGAAGCACGTCTTGTTTCGGCAAACTTTTTGCCTTTTTTGCTTGCAGCGATGATTGTGTTTCCCTTTGTGGCGATGACTGTCAGTTGTTCTGGGTCGCATAATGATTGATGTTTCCTTCTTGTTTCGCGCTTTTTGAGGACTCCCTCCCCCACAGAGAATTCGCGATGGTGTGCCCGTCTGCGTTGATTAGCATAAGCCTTGATGTTCTTTCTTTTTATCATTTTGCGCTTCTGTTTGCTGACATTCTGGTGGCATAACAGTGGGCAGTAGACCTTTGGCAACCCTTCCAAACATCATGCCGTATGGTGTGCAGCCTGCGGTGAGGTGGGGAGTCTGCCGGTAGCTGGCAAGGTATGCGTCCAGTTCCATCTCGAGATCCTTGGCCTCTAGGTGAGCGGTCTGGATGAGTTTCACAAGAGGCCTCATAAACCTCTCCACGGTGCCGTTGGCTTGAGGCCGATATGGAGTCACTTTTCTGTGGTGAAAGTTCAGTTCTGCAGCAAGAGATGCCATGTCCTTGCCGTTGAAAGGTGCACCATTGTCGGATTTAACCACGTCTAGTGTCCCAAAGAGAGCAAAAGTCTTGCGGAGTCTTGGAAGTATCTGTTCGGCAGATGTTGACCGAACCACCTCCACCACTGGGAAGCGGGATTGCTCGTCGATGGCAACAAGCAGGTATTTTACTGACTGCAAGGGGCCATGAAGGTCGATAGCCACCTTTGCCCAGGGTCGCTCAGGAAGTCTGGTCATGCTGAGTGGTTCTTGGTGCGACCTCTCGTCACAGGCTTGACATGGAACACAGGCCTGGATGGTTTCGTTGCAGAGATTGTACATTTTTGGGAACTACTCCTTTGTGCGTAGAAACTGTTTTGTTTTTACCATACCCTGATGGCCAACATGAGCCAGCTGCACTGCACGTATGCGCAGAGGTCTGGGTATCAGGATCCTTGTGCCCCGAACGATGATGTTAGTCTGTGTGGAGAGCTGCTCTCTCACTTTCTTGTGTGTATTGATCTCCTCTGTGTCTCTGGTGGAGGAAAACTCCTTTGCCAGTCGATGCCAGGTATTGTTGTCGATGGCTTCCGCAATGGCCGTGTAAAGCGTGTCCGCACTGGTTCGAACCTCGTCAAGGGACAGTGCTTTAGGCCGGGCTGCTTCCAAGGTGAGGCAAACAAACTCTTCAGTCACGCGTTGGAGATCTTCTTTTGGTACCTCAACAGGGTGTCGGGAGAAATAGTCAGCAGGGTTATGGTCTCCAGGCTGATATTGCACCTCAAAGTCATACAGCTGCTCCCGAAGGCGCCATCTCTCAATCCTGGGAGGAGTGTTGGTTGCCTTTGTCGAGAATATGGTCGTCAGAGGTTTGTGATCCGTTACGACCACAAACGGCACTCCATAGATGTACAGGTAGAAATGTTCACACGCCCACACTATGGCCAGGGCCTCTCGTTCTGTTTGTGAATATCGTTGTTCGGTTGGTGTCAGCGAGCGACTGGCGTACAGCACTGGTCTTGGATGGGGGTCACCATGACTGCGCTGCGTGAGTACTGCACCCAATCCAAAAGGGCTGGTGTCAAAAATCAGTGTTGTTTGTGCCTCTGGGTTGAAGTATGCAAGAGTCGTTGCGTTCGTGACGGCTTCCTTGATTTGGGAGAAGGCGTCTTGCTGCTCTGGGCCCCATTGCCAGGCGGCGTCTTTGCGAAGGAAATTCCGAAGTGGTGCGAAGACTGTGGCGATGTCTGATACGAAGGGAGAACAGTATGTTGCAAACCCAAGGAAACTCCTCAGTTCCTTGACAGATTCTGGGGTCGGTACCTTCTGGATTGTTGTCACTTTGCTGGGTGAAATTTGAGCCCTTCGCTGCCAAATACGAAGCCAAAGAACTCTAGCTTGGGCTGATAGAAGGAGCATTTGGCAGCGCTCACCGTGAGTTCAGTCTGCATGAGTCGCTCAAGTGTTGCGCGCAGGGCCTTGTCATGTTCCTCTCTTGTGGATCCATGGACGAGAATGTCGTCACTGGTGTTGAGCGTGCCAGGTATGTCTGCGATGACATTGGTGATAGCACGTTGGAATACCTCAGCAGCTGAGCATATTCCGAAGAAAAGGCGCTTGTATCTGAACAGGCCAGATGTTGTCGTAAAGGTGGTGATCGTGCGAGAGTTCTGGTCAATCTCCAGCTGATGGTATCCGTGTCGTAAGTCGATCTTCGAAAACACCCTGGAATGTGTCAGCTCAACAGCCATATTGCCGCGCGCAGGGTCACGAACTTGTAGAAGATTCTTGTTTATTCTTGCTGCGGACATACCTTCTATCGTTTAGCCCTGCTTCTGTTGTTCTAGAAAGTGCGCGTTCATTCTCGCCCCGAGCGCGCTACGCTCGAACCTTCTCCGCCGAATCTTCGAGATAGTGACTCACCCTAGATAAGAGGCCACCCGCAACCTTGTCGAGTCAGTTTCGCCCCAGCGTTCGACTCTGCTCTTTCGACGCTCGCGACGCTCTACTGTTATCTTCTGTTTCCTTCTTTATTTTGGGCACAAGTTCGCCCGATTAAACGTTTAGTTTACTCAGTTATTTGACGCCTCATCACTTGTCATTCGTGACAATATACTTGAGGGTCGGGGTAGGATGTCGCTCCCTCTGGATGGCCACATTGGCTTCGCGCTTGTCCACACAGATGTGGACCTGGGTTGGATCCGATGTCTTTGGGACGATCACAATCGGGGAAATCCACAGGGTAGGTCCTTCCACTGGTTCAATGATGTCTGCCTCGAGCAGGGCTTGAAGTTCAGCTTCCACCTTGGATCGGAGATGGAAGGGTACTCGGCGGGGTTTCTGGGCCACAGGAGGTAAGTCAGGGTTAATGTGGAGATGCACACATTTCCCTTTGAGCTTGCCAATTTCATTGGTGTGCTCTGGGTATCCTCGGAGAGGGTCAGGAGTGCTCAGCGAGTGCACAATGTGTAGCAAGCCCAACGCAGTGGCTGACTCCCGGCTGAGTAGCGTCGCTAGCGCGTGGTTGTCTTCTTTGACGACGTGTACAACTGTCTGGCAGCGTTGTCCTTCATAGCTGAGCTGCACTGGAAATTCACCGAGAATGTGCAGAGGTTCGGAGGCCTGGCGTGTTAAAGTTTGCAGACAAGGCTTCTGAGTAAGCAAGTTGAAAGTGTGCTCACCCATGGTGTTGACAGTTGCGCCTGAGTCAATGATCGCCTTGGTTGTACCAAAAGAGTCGTAAGTGATGGATGCTTGCGGCAACTTCTTGTGTCAGTCGCCCGTCTGGAAGTTAGACTCCGTAGAAGCCACTCTTGTTAGGGTGTTGGTCTCATCCAGTGGCCGTCGCTCTGGTCGTCGCTCTGGTCGTCGCGATGACCTGCAGACTCGAGCAAAATGGTTTGCCTTGCCACAGCTGTTGCAGATCTGTCCCCTTGCCGGGCAGAGTTCTGAGCGATGTGGATATGCACCGCCGCAATGTCCACACGTGCGGTGATTTTGTTGTCGGGATGACAGGTCGTTTCCTTTGACACCTTTTCCTTTGGAGCGTGAAAGTCGGTGTGTCTGCATCTGCAGGGTGACATTCTGTAGTCCAGCCAGGGCGCTTTCCATACTTTTGGCTTGCCGGTCTGCCATCTCCGTGGTGCGCGCAAGTTCGAGTAGCTGTGTCAGCGTCATGTCCGGCTTGTGGAGCGACTTGCGTCTTAGGGTTGCCGACGAGCAAGTTTGAATGATGTGGGACTTAAGTTCGGCGTCCAGGTCGGTGAATCCGCACAGCATGGCGATATGCCGTACCCTCGTGTGGTACGTGTCAATACTCTCGTCGCCGAGCTGACGCTTCTGCCGGAACAGGCAGCGTTGGTATTCGTAGTTGGCCTTTGGGTCGAAATGTTTCGTCAGCTGATCGACCGCGAGCTTGTAGGCGTAGGGAGCGGTACCACTGGTGGAGTCGGCCGTCGCCGTCGCTGGTAACGTTTCGTAGATGTCGCACACCTGGTCGCCTGCGTAGTGCAGCAGCATCGCTTTCGAACGTGTCGGGTCCTTTATGTTGCACGCCAAAAGAAAGTTGTCGAATCGCGTTACCCATTTCCGCCAGCGGGGTCTCACGGAAGATGCATCTTCGTGCACAACGAAGCTTGAGAATGGTGGTAGGATGGACATGTCGAGGATGGTGTTGGTTCCACGTGGTGCGGTGGTGGTGACCTTCAGTGGTTGGGTGCGGACGGTTGATGGTCGAGAAAACCATCAATGTAGTGCAGCGTGAGTGCACGGGTTGTCGACTTTTATCCTCGTCGCCAATGTTGTGGTTTAACACCGTTTAATACTGAGATTACATAGGATTGTTGGAGGTTACATTGCGATGCACCACTTACACCGCGTGAGGCTTTTCCCAGCATGCCTCTCGGTAGTCGATGTTCCTCGGCTGCTTGGAGTTGAGGAGTTCAAACACAAACTGAAACTAGACACTAAAACTACAACGAAATTTCGGAACTTATTTTATGGTCTAAATGTGTTCAAAAGAGCAGTATCACATCGAACACACCAATATCTTACTAAAAAAGTCACGAAAAGGAATTTTAAAACAAATTAAACGATTAGCAAAGAGCACTTGGTGGATGTCGCTAACGCCTCGTTTGTAATGCCCGTCTAGGAACCTTGACAGCCAGTGACGGTGAGTGTCTCGCCTCCGGCCACGACGAGAAAAGAGGGGCAGGAGGAACTCCCCTCTTCCCGAGAATCCCTTTTGTGTGTCACAGAAGTCGCTATATTCCCTCTACAAGATTATAGAAGAATAACCCGTCACTAAAAATTTGTACAAAAGCAGTCGCTTCGGTGGCTGGAACGACTAGGCCATCCCCTCGACGTCAGCCTCGCCGTAGCTTTGCTCGTCCCGAGACGACCTACGTCACGATTGCGTCGGATGTCACGTGCTCTAAGCTGGGCCTTCTCTGAGCGCTTGCTAGAGTGGGCCGTTTATAACAAGAAATACAGCCACCAGGCTTAAAATACAAACATGCGATTGTCATTTACGGATATTGTGGATCATATTCAACCTATTTTTGAACAAAACGGATATATCACAAATTTCGTTGAAGTATCCCTTTAAGTCTTTGTGTGGGTATGCCGAAGTTCCTTTGCGCTATGATTTATGCCTCGCGAGCTCTTTGGGTTACAATTCGTTTGTAATGTTACAATTATCAACATAGTGTCACTTTTAAAAGTAATATATATCAATTCATTCACCTTAATTTTTGCTTTAGTTAATTTTTTTTGTATTAAAGTGCTTATTTAGGTTTATTTATTTAACATTCCTCATTTATATTGTCTTAAATATTTTCCGTCCCTGGAGACTGCCACATGTCCCCAATCCGGCTTAATCAGAGGTTTAAGTAGGACTGGAAATTCGACAATGGAGCGTGGGCAGGCTAGCGCTGGTAGCGCATGGGAGCACACCAAATGAGAAAATGCAGGGGGACATGTGGCTGGTCGTCCGTTGAGAGCAGAGAATGAATGAGTGAATTATAAAAATGTATTGTTTTGTATGTTTATACAGCCTTGATGTTGGTACGCCTCAACGAGTGACCGATCTCTTAGCTGCAGATGAGAAATTTAACCAATGAAGTACAACCATTAACCTGGGTTTCTTAACATGCATCACGCAGTAGTGATTACACGAACGCGTGCCGGTACGAAACTCATCCAAATTAGTAAATTGACATTTGAGAAAAGGTTAACCAAATGGATGCTACTCGGTGGGCCACGGAGAGTGGTCAAGTATTTATATATTAAAAGTTTAAACACAAAATGGACAAACAGGACTCGAAAGCCGATGTTTAAATACC